AAACCTTTAAATGGTTTTAGGCTTACACATATCTGTAGCGAACGGACAGTGACTCATAAAAAGCGTTTAAAAGCATTATTGAGCTTATTGAGGTTTTTCGGTGACCAGGAGCAATCAGATTTTTATATTTTTGTGCAAAATGTTATTTATTCATGCCAATTCATCTTGCAATACCAATCTCGCATTTGCAAGCCCGTGTTACTCCATTATAAGAATACTCTTTCGATCACAATTGTACATATTATTTTGTATACACCATACAGTACTGCATACTACTACAACTCTGGGATATCCTATTGGACGGGATGCATATGTAGGATAAGATTAAGACCCTGGTTAGATAACCACACACAATGCGATTAGCTCATTATATATCCTTGATTGAATATAATTACAATTCTACAATGTTCAAATTAATCCTGTTAAATTCATATAAATATGGCTCAATTAGACAGAAAGGAATCATTAAAAATTAATTTGAAAATTAATAAACTTTTTCAAATAAAATTTATAAGCATAATTCAAACAATGTTGAAAGTAGTGTGCCTGACACTTTTCATTGCCGCTGTTTCAGCCGGCATTCCTTATAAGGATTGTGGTATTAATGACATATTTATTTTTAAAAAATTAATTAAGATATTTAAAAATATAATTTATATCCATTTCATAGCCCACTCGGAGGTGATAGACGTAGCCATCAGCGGCTGTACTACCAGTCCCTGCACTCTCCATAAGGGAAAGGAAGTTCAGATTGACATTCAATACAAAGCCAGTGAGTAATACAATAAAGATTTATATAGTTTTTGAATAAACTATAAAATTAACAATTATTAATCCATTAATTAATCCTTAAAATCTAAATCCACTAATATTTTGTATTACCATGCAATATATTATTTAATAATATTAAATATTAATTCCAGTCTTAATTAAATATGTTCAAGGTGTTTTAATATGATTTAATTTTTTCTGTATGCTTACTGTATAGACCAGGACACTACCAAGGCTACCTGGACCCTGCACGCCATACTGGCCGGTGGTCTAGACCTGGACCTGTCAACACTGATCCCTGGCTTTGATAAGGACGGCTGTCACGACACTCCCTGTCCCGTCAAAAAGGGAGAGACAAAGAAGTTCTCGTATAAACTGACTATACCTGAGGCCACCCCTACACCCATTGAGGCTGATGTCAAGGCCCGGCTTATCGGCGATTCCGGTGACCTATTCTGCGGTACCGTTCACGGAAATATTGTCGACTAAATACACTAAATGGTCCCTGATCATATTTAATCTATATGCCTTAAAAGTTATTTAACTTCATTAAAATAAATTAATTTACAGCAAAAATGTGTACATTATTATTTTTATTTAATATTTCCCAGGGCGTAGAGGGGCTTAAATAGTAGGACCTGGGTAGATTTAAAGGGTATGGGAACTGGTGGCAACACGAACTGGGACCAGTCGCAGTCAGGGGCCGGTGCTATACCACTGCCTATGGAGATGTCGAGGTAGGAAAACGTGAATTCTCTAAGTAGTTGGTTGGCCTCCCCGGCTAATACGTCCATCACCGCGTTGTACCACTTCTTTATGAAAATATATTTGCATAGAAATAATAATTATCATAATAATATTATTATAAGTTAATAATTATATATGAGAAAAAAACATTTATTGTGATGACATTGCTTTTATATCCAGATTATTGATAGTACTGTATCTAAAATATTCATTAGCACTGAGTATTGAGTGCATGTTTTAATGAGTATTTTAGATATAATACTATCAGTAATTAGAATATAAAAACAATTGCATTTCAACAAATGTGTCTTACACATATAAAATTATATTCATATTATCAGTAAAGCATTTTTCATTTGATATACACATTCGATGTTTGTTGTAATTATTTATATTTTATTTATTGTTTAGTTTACCAGTAAGTTTCTGTATGTTCGCGCACAATTTACTTGTTGTATACTTAATATACACCTACTTTATTAATTAATACTTAAAGTTAAAGTGTACATCAATTTATGCAATAATTTTGGGATGGGTTTTAAACAGATGTGTTCAGGTGGGTAAGAGTGAGCATTAT